CTAGTCAACCCAGACTAACATAGATGCAAAAGTCCTTAACAAAATATTGGCCAATAGAATACAAAAGTATATAAAACATATATGATCATATATGTATATAAAACATCATGATCAGGTGGGATTCATTCCAGGGATACAGGGATGGCTCAACATCCAAAAGTCCATCAACATAATCTATCACACTGATAAGAAAAAAGATAAGACCCACATGATAATATCACTAAACATAGAAAAAGCATTTTACACCATCCAATGCCCATTCCTAATGAAGACACTCAAGAATATAGGAATGGAAGGGAAATTCCTCAAATCAATACAAGCTATTTATGAAAAAGCCAAAAGCCAACATCATAGTCCCTGGAGAAAAGAAGAAAACAATGCAACTGAAAAATGGAACTAGATACCCCTTGTCCCCACTTCTATTCAACATCATACTGGAGGTCCTAGCTAACAACATAAGGCAGCAAAAGGACATTAAAGGTCCATCTAAGAGAGGAGAGGGGACACTATCGCTATTTGCAGACAACATGATTCTATACATTGGAAACCTGAAAAAATCCACAACAGGAGTACTGGCATCAAGAGAAGAATATGGAAGGGTCGCAGGATACAAGATCAACAAACAGAAGTCTATTATTTTTTGTATGCATTGGACAAGACCACAGAAGAGGATATCAAGAAGGCAGTATCCTTCACAATAGCCAAGAACAAATGGAAATATCTAGGGCTATAGCTAACCAAAAAACCAAAAGACTTATGCAAGGAAAACTACAGAACCTTCCTATGAGAAACCAAATGCGACATCCACAAATGGAAAAATATCCCATGCTCATCGATCGGAAGACTCAATATAGTAGAGATGTCACTCTTAGCCAAGACACTATATAAGTTTAATGCTATCTCGATTCAAACACTAACAACCTTCTTCAAAGAATTGGAAAAACTGACCACCAATCTCATATGATGAGAAAAGAAGCCCAAAATTAGCAGAGAACTCCTCAAGAGGAAGGTCATAGTCAGAGGGCTTGCTTCATCTGACTTTAACACACCTACTATACAGCCACACTGGTCAAAACAGTGTGGTAATGAATAATGACAGATACTCAGACCAATGGAAAAGAACAGAAACACCAGAAATAAAACCATCAGCATATAGGCAACTGATCTTCGACAAGGACCCAAAAGGCATCAAGTGGGAGGTGGATGCCATCTTTAACAAGTGGTACTGGAAATGATGGATCTCCACCTGTAGAAAAATGAAA